TGAAACAGAGTAATGGCAGTTGATTGATTTACCTCCATTGCCCTCCCTTCTCGCCACTTTTACACAGTCCTGCCATCACTTTCTTCTTCAAGTCCGAGACGGAGAAGCACTTGAAACTCTGATCCGGCGACGACTCCGGAGATGAGAGCAGCTTCGCTCCCTCCCTTGAGAGCTGCTGAGACGAACTATCCGAAGAACAAGAGCCCGACTCCTCGACTGCCATCCTGAGACTGGGAATGTAGTCCTGAAGCATATCGGCGACGTCCTTAAAACGCCGGAGATAAAGAAGAGACCTGGCTCTGAGCTCGAGCGCCTGGTCTAGGCGTGGAGATATTGCTAGTGCCGCGTCTACAAGATTCAGAGCCGATGCGATCTCGCTCTGTTCTTGGGTCGCAATGAGGCTACGAGCGTCTTTGATGTATTTCTCAACAATCTACACCGGCGAACACGCAAGTAATATATATATATATATATATGAATTCAGGAATTATGAAAGCATCTCAAAGATGAAAAACTCGTGCAAACAAATCTAAAGGGAGTGAAGCATTACCTTTCGGTTGGTAAGCCACCAGTGCTTCTTTTCTGAAGCATTGAAAGAGGAGAAGGTAGCGACGGCCATTGTCATGTGGTGAGGGTCGTAGTGTGGTGATTCAAGGTTGAAGAACCATCAATGATCAAACTATGAAGGATGAACCCAGTTGGCCTCTCCCTCCCCTGGCCAAAGCAGGCACATATTTTCAGCGAGAAACAAAGAGAGGGAGAGAGGGGGAAACGCAAATGAAGAAGAGAAGTGAGGAGGTTGAGAGACACAGGAAGAAAGGAGGGGTTTTAAACGAGTATAGATTTCGTGAAAGTATGGGTGGAGGTTGTAAAGACCATAGGGAAGGGAAGAGAGAGAGAGAGAAGGGGTCTGTGGGAAAAATTGACAGCTTTGACCCTTATGGAAAGCTTTGATTAATTCAAGTTCATAGCTGGCAGCACACCATAGATTCTTTCTCCCTCACAAGCTATGTGGCTTTTGTATAGGTCTACTGTCCCTAATATTTGTGACAATTTGGCAAAGGAAAAAATTAATTTCTTTAAACTAAAGGGATTCTAGATACGTGACGGGGTCCAGCCGGTGAGTAGACGATCGCGACTGACTATCGCCGGTGACCCATCACGGGTCCTCGGGCTCAACCACCGGGAAAAGTAAGCTCCACCGAGAAGTAGCCCGCCAGGTGAGCTCGGCAACCAGCAACAAAAGATTTGTAATCTCCTAATTTTATAAAACGTGACAGATTTACTTCAATGAGGACTCTCACGGATTCATAATCACACCAAATTGGGAGTGCCTTGTATTTCCAAAACACCCCCCGGTTTATTTATTTCACATCCCCGTCCAAATTACGGATTCGCCCTTGCTCAAGTTTGACCATTCTCACTCCACCAGTTTGCATTGCCTTCATTTATGACCGTCATTCCTGAAATTTAAACTATGAAACCAAGTAGACAAGCGAGCCTTAAAATTTACAGCCAAGAAGTTCAGTACTAGAGTATCTCTGAACAGAAAGCTTCCTCCAAATTAAAATTCCTATATTAATAACCACGCCACATCCCATTTATTTTTTGTGAGGATCTGGATTCCGCACATACTCCATGAATTTACTAATCTGTTAAAATCCACTTGTAATCAACACCATGAAAAGAAGCAGTTATCTTGTGACTGCGTCTGATTTGACTAGGATTTTCTTTTAATGCTAATTTCTATGGCCTCACTATGTGCGCTCAGTCCCCATGGGCTCGTCCAACTCACAAGGCGGGGGGGGGGGGAGCAAAAGAATAGTAACTGCACATGTGAGGTTGCAGGATAATGATTCAGTAAATGCTGCAGGATTTTACATCCCAACATGACACAGAGACAAAAGAAACCATGATCATGGAGCTTTAGTTATTCAATGAACCAAACCCCGGTTAATACATGAATCACCCGCCCGCTGACTAACCCATTGATTCACCTTCACTTTTGTGGAATTAGCCTCCTAATCTTCTTTGCCTGTTCATGATTACCAGCGATACTTTAATTAGCCTTTCAAGTTCGCAATAATCACCGGAAGGTAGTTCCGTTAATTGAGCTAACCCCCCATTTCGTTATCATTATAATATAGTTTAGAGGAAAAGGGAGGGAGGTAAAATGGTGAAAAGAAAGGAATGGAAGGTGACGGAGTAATAATGGAGGAGCAGAGAGAAAGCAGGGTGGTGGAACAGGAATCATGCTTTTTCTTTGAGGGAGGGTTTGCTTCTTGTTCTGCTGCTGCTACCTTTGCTTTTCGTTACATTTTGAGGCCACAAAGATTAATGAAGGCACATGAATTTGGATAGATTGCCAGATGGGTTTGTCTTAAAGCTTCTCTAACTTCCCTTTCCGTTGCCCCCACGATCTCCATTATAAATCCCACACTTCCTGGCTCCTGCGATCTCCTGCGTTTTGCCATGTCATCCCTATCGGAGCTAGCCTGTCTCCACGTGGCATTCCTGGAGCTTGGGTCCCTCATATCCAGATAAGCCTCAGTTTTTGGACTTTGTCCCCGTGCTTTTGTTTCTTGTTTCTTTTGTTTTTTCGGACCGCTTCCATTATTGTAAGGATAGCCCTTTGCTTTTCTAACATCAACGCATCAACCTCGGAACAGTTCCTCCCTCCTATCCTCCAATTTCTGTTTCTTTTCTTTCAGTTTTTTTTTTACTGTCTCTCCCTGCATTTCCTTTATGTTCTGAAAATTCTTAATCATGTTCAGCCACATGGCCCTGCCCATTGACAAGCTCAACGGTCTAATCCTTATCTGCAAAGATTTTAAACAGGATCCAGAATCCTGTGAGTGATGTTAATTAATCGATAGAAATAAGTTGAGTTAATTTCTTGGCAAAAACTAAACGCTCCATCTTGTCTTTTTGTATCTTTAATCAGTAACGTGAAGCCGCAACTTTCCTTTACGGAGTACTGGTCGCAGTAGGGTAGTGTGCAAGAAACAACTTCGAATGGAAGCTACGAAGACTAAGGGTTTTGACGCTACATTGATTATTGATTGATGATGTATAGTAGTCGCTTTCTTTGTCAAACCTTTTAGGGAGAAACTAAAGGTTGATAATTTAACTCAAACTATATACATCTTTAGGCAAAAGGTGAAGTTTCTTAAATGTAAACGGAACCTAAATTGTCTCAAGTATCTGGAACCCAATTTTGTCAAACAATTATCCCATTGGCTTCTTCTGATATTGGAACTTGCTGCACTAAGTTTTCCATCAATTCTTTCGCGGACGAGTCCCAAATTATATTTCGAACTCGACGATGCTGTCCACAACTTGGAATTTTTCTTGCATAATCTTTCTTACATTTTATCTTTTTATTCCATCTTTTTTTCCAAGAGGGACCAGGCTCAAATTATGTCAAAGTTATGGTGGCGCAAGGAAGACAACATTACAATTTGGGCCCATAAATTAAAGCAAAGCAGAAAAACTTAATATGGACATCTTCAATTAACAACCAACCTTGTTTGATATGTCTCGTTCAAAAGTTGGCAATTACAAACAAGAAGGAATCACAGGAAGGAGGAAGTGACGTTTTTCATCTCTAAAGGGGGGCTACTTGCTGATTCGGATTATGCAGAAACTTAAATGGGGAATAAACATGATTCACGAAAAGAAAAGAACGGTAGTGTCACAGAGACACAAGAAGCAAACGTATGAATATAGTGGTGTGAAGGTTGCTCGCATAGGTATTGGGACCATTTGGCCCCTAAGGACAGGGCAGGGACTACAAAGAGCTGGTTTCTTTCGCAAACATGGCAGCCACTCTGCTACGCTGGAACAGCTAAGGGGTTCCAGTTGTACGCAGGTGGGGCCCTGTTACTGTGATGGAGACCACGGCCTTTTAATAACTTGGTGGAAATCTTAAATAGATGAGGGCCCACTTTGCTTTACGTGATGCTCCCTCTTCCCCTCTAGCCTTAAGGCTCCATTTTTTCATTGAGAGGGATGTCGATGTCCAGATTCTGAGCAGCCCTGTTATGTGGTTCATGTTCGTTTCTTTGCATGAAATAGGACGCCAATTCGAAGGACCATCTTTAACTCGTCTAGTCACAGCGCATGCTGTCTGTAACTAGTTTTACGAACATGTAGGTGAATTCACTTCACCTATTGCACAGAGTTTATGCCTTTATTCTTGGACACTGTTTAATCCTGCAGCCACAGCACATACAAGCGTACAACATAGGTCCCCTCTTTTTCTTTTTTTTTTAAATCCTGCCTTCATTACCTTTGGATCTACCCTTATTTCGTTTTCATTCGCCCGCCTATTATTGCCAATTATTATCTATCCACATGTAAGGTCCCATGTCCTTCCCAGGTAGCTGTCTAAATATCTAGCATTTTGTTTTTGAATCTCCTAATCCTTTTCTCCCTATCATTCTAATTATTTTTCTTATTTCTCTCCCACATACGTATCGCGCTTATGAGCGCCTCTGACTTAAGGACCCACTATGTTTGGTAATCAGTGTTTACATGTATCACATGATTGCTGGAATCCACAGAACAAGGATTGATGCGAACAGACCTGACATACGTGAATAACTCTTTTCTAAAGTGAAAGGAAAAAAGGGCCGAGATTCTTACCTTTGCCTTCACACATCTCTTATTAATATTCCTATTCCCTATTGATCGGCTGGTAAATATTCCGGGATTGATAATTACTGGGTTATTGTTCACTTTATGGGGAAGGGGACCACATAAAGTGTGATACTTGATTGATGAATATGCTGCTGCTGCTGCTGCATAATACAGGGCTGATCGCATAATTGGAAGTTTAAGAGCGGCTCTCATCATTAGAGCCTATTTGTAACGTCCAAATCCTCAATTAATAAGGACAGCTTTTATTCCTGATTGGAAGGCATTGGCTTAATTGTGTATGCCAATAACCACCAAACATTCCTCTCGCGAGAGAAAATGACACAAAAATCCAACTACTTAATAATTGCGAAACGACGCCAGGAGATTAAGAGCCGGCTCACTAACTAAAACCCATTATTGTCTCCAAAACAATACCATGATTGAACGTTAGAACTTCACAGGGCAATATGATTATAAGATGCTCACGAAGTTGCTACACTGCTAGGGTGTCAGGCATGGCATTGGTGGCTTGTTCAGGAAGGTCCCTCTACGCTCAAATATTTATACACATATATGACGAAGATGGAAGAAAGAGTGTGTCTTATGGGAAACGAAGAGTTAGTTTATTAAACAACGATGGGAAGCGCTTCCCCTCTCAATTCTCAAAGACATGTTAATGCATAAGGAGGCAGAGGAGTGACGTGAAGCCCTAAAGATTCTACTGCGCTTGGATAAGGCTTTGTTTCGATATGTGCCAGGAGGATGCACACACATCCATCGAAACTGGCTTTTCTTTGGCGGCACAAAAGAGTGAGTGAGTTATATTATAGTAGTGTGTGTTTCGTTTTGGATTGCCGAGTCTTATCTGGAGCCCTTTGCCAATCATAATGGCCGAATTGGTTCTGAGGGGTTATGTTTTCAAGGCTCTGTGGGAAGCACGTGTCTTGTGGATGGGATTTCACGTGCACATGGCCATCCCTCACCCCCCCCCATGTGCCCCTGCCCCTGCCCCTGCCTCTGCCTCTGCCTCCACCACCTAATGCTAATCTCCTTCCCTCAATATGCCCAACATCGCCAGCTTAATTGCTCTGCTTCTTTCCTCTAAAGTCCCCCCAATCAT